TTTTGTGTTCAGAATCCACATTTTGTGGGTTCTTAACACTCAAAAAATGATTGACGGCAAAAATTTTGTTTGTCCATTTGCGGACAACGTTGGCAACAAAAGCGTTCATAAGATTTTCTCCCAAATTGGTGTTCTTCATTTGATCTGACCGATCTGCAGGCAGATGGCAGTGGCAGGCTGCTGCCACTGCAGGTTTGGAACGGATATTTTGTTTGGGATATACTTTACATGTAGCCTCATCAACATTTGAAAACTCTTCAACATTGGCTCAAAAATTCTTGTTTAAATGTTTTTTTTTGGATTGAGCCTAGGACGCTTAAATAATAGCATCGATCTCTGAATGTTCGAAAAATGAAAAAAAAAGGTACCTATACTGCGATAAAGGATGTGCTAGTGAAGCACCACTAACTCACACTTCATTCGTTGCTTGTCTAAATCTTAACACATTGTCCTCAATTAATTTAATTGTTAAGTATCATACTAAAGAGTAAGCAAGGCGCTAGGCTAACGTTTAAATGATCTCCCCTTTCTTAGATGATCACAATACTGTCTACGATAACCCCTGCCGCTCACTAAATGAAGAATGGTATTGATCATGAAAAGTGAATGCTGATCAATATTTATGAATGTATGACGTTGACAAGTTGAGGAAAGCTAATCGCACCATAACATTGTGAAGACACCCAATCTTGTCGGACTGGAACTCGCTATCTTCGACCTCGAATACGTGACTCATCTCCACACCTCTAAACCACCAACGCCTAATTAATTTCCATAACTCATTTTGATATTTTATTTGTTTTGAGAGCTGATATATTAGGCAAAGGCATTTAGGGAAGCTGACCTAGTTGGAAAAGTGCCAAATTTCTGCGGTTTGTTAACCTCAGTAATCTCCGTCAGCACTTTTCCTACTTCAAAGACGTATGCGAATAAACAACACGCATTCTCCAGCAGAGTTACTCGCCCGACCTTGGCATGTATTGAGCGTGTCTGAGGTCCGGCACGTCCTTGTATGAGGTCGTCGTCGTACTACGTACTGGCACAGCTAAGATCACTGCCAATGGCTCAGAAGCCTCCCTGCAAAGTACTGATCTCTGCAGACAATTCTGAGCGATGGGCCGAAAACCGTGTTTTTGCAGAAATGGTAGGATCTTTCTACATCATCGGTTTGGTTCATTTGGGGTTGGGGGAGCCCACAGCCCGACCCTAAGAATGGAGTCCTGATCACGCGCGGTCCATTGCCCGTTGTTGACGGTAGAGCTCCGCAGCCGTCAGTAATTAGGTGGAAGTAAACATGGAAACGATAGATGAGAATAACTGCCCCTTAGAATTTTCTGTGACATCGACTAGCCCAGCCATTTATCACGTGTCGCAAATCCGTCACAAATTAAACTGCTGGTCTACGAAGCTGCAGCAGCCCAAACCTAACTCGGTATGAACATGCTCACGTATCTTCGAAGCTCGTAAGATTATGATAGATCGCGTATTTATTTAGAGCGCGTATTTTTTGGTAGCTGTCAGACGTAAAAATATTCATAAGGTATTTCTTTGGCGTATGTGTATCTTTTTTCATCCAAAATTAAAACACGCATCTTAAATTTTTGCGATGTTCAATGACAGCTCAGTGAATACACATTTTCTTTTTAAGTAGGGAGTGCAGTAGTGCCCCCTTCAACATCCCCCCTTCGCCCCTTTTAACATAACAAATCCCCCCTTCAAGGCAATGTTAATTTTAAACACCAATTCTTTAATGGTTTCAAAAGAGCTGCTTTGTATACTCATCAATATAATAGTAAATCCCCGATGTAATTAAAGGAGAAGGAAAATGCTTTGATTTACAAAAACTTTGGATTATAAGGGTTTAAGTTTCACAAGATTAAATAAAGTATAATTGGAATGACTTATATTTCACCAGACGCATTGAATATTTGTACTCTTGAAATCCACTTCACACAGTCTTGTGTGTTGTAAAAAGGACGCACTTCACTAGTTATTAATACTTTTCTGAAACAAAAGGGGGAGGGACAAAAATGAAGAAAAGGTTTGAAGTTAAGACACGTGCCAATCAGGAAAGATAGCAAGTATGGAAGTGTAGGCTTATCGCACACACGTGTGTACAGTTTTCGATTCTATTTATAGAGGGCTTTTGAGAAAGTTTCATTTACGAATATTACGTGTCTTTCACTTCATTTAAAAGACTTGAAGCAGTAACAAAATAAGCCACATCAACCACAGGAAGCCTGCAGGTATCCGAAAGTGTTAATCTGACAATTTTGGAAGAAATTCAAGCGACAAGCCCTTCATAAATACGAATACGACATATGTCGTACACAGAAAAGCCACACATTCACCAGAATTGAGCTATTGCCATCAACAAATAGCAGGGGTAGGGGCTTGGTTTCGCTTAATTTGTTGCTGTCTCAAGCTCTTCAATTCATAGTATCTAGCTAAAATTTCGCGTTAGGAATAACTTTTTCGTTTGATATCCGAATGCTTGGAAGATATACGTTTTTACGTCAAATTATGGAGTTTTTTTTATCTAGGAGCGAAAGTTATCGAAGACAAGTTAAACGATTTTCGATTGATATATACTTGGTTTACCGAAGTCCTAATAATTATGAAATCCACATGGTCCGGATCATTAGCAGCTGCACAATTAAACGGAGTCTACTTTAGGTTGAGCAACCTTACAAGAACCACGCAGCCAAGCAACAACTAGAACAATCTTTGTGAACGAAACGTCAGTATTCAGCTGTAAAAAGCTAATGGACCGTTTTACGATCTTCCACAGACAACGAGCCACCGATGATCTACTGTACATTGCGTGTACTCGGTCATCATAATCCCTTCAGTCAAACTGTAGACAATCGGCGTCTAACTAAACGGAAATGAGAAGAAACCCTTGAGCAACGAATGGATTAATGTGCCTCCCACAGGGCGACATTCCCGGGAAGAGAACGTGCTACGAGCGACTTCTGGCGCTGCTCGCCTCACGTTCAACACACGAGGTACCCGCCACAACTGAGGTCCCGGCAAAACATGCGCTGGTTTCCCTGTTTTTGCCCCCCTCCCTTCCCCCTCCGTTCTCCCCCGCGTCGCTCCCCGCACAGCGCTTCGCCCCACTCCTCGCGCGTGGCCGTCACGGGTATACGTCACTCGTTGCGTCACTTGGATTCACCGATCCCAGCGTGTGACGTGCAGGGCAAAGCGCGGGCTCCCCTGCACGCCACATAACGAGCACGTAGGCGACGACGGGGCCGTGGCCTCGCCTTACCCATGGTGGTTCCCGCCCATTTTCTGGTGACTGCGTTTTTTATCTCGATTACAACCCTTTACATCGCTTCTCCAGAATATTGTTTAACACTTTCTCTTTATCATTATTATTATTATTATTATTATTATTATTATTATTATTATTATTATTATTATTATTATTATAAAATGTTTGTCAAGTCGATTTCATACAGGGGATCTTCTCCCGATCGGCCACCATGTCTCATGTGTCAGCTCTTGAGTTGCACAGTCACCACAACGCGACATCTACATGATGCAACACATCCGAAACACAGGGGTCAAATTCCACCCCGCGTTCCTCCACAATCCGGACGTGAAGAAGCTCTAACAACCACTGGTTAACCAGTGTAGTAAAATACAGAATAAAAATATTGTTATCGAAGGTTGACTTCCGAGTTCCGCCAGATTTTTTGTTGGTGTGAATAGAATTACATCAAAAAGAATCCACCATGTCGCCTTTTGGTAAAATTGTTATGTAATTGGTACACATCATGTGCGGATCTACTGGGAAATGAGGGAAATTCCCGCCTAATTTTTTAGTAACTATTAATTTTAACACGGTTGCGAAATTTTCAACCAAAATACTTTCGGATAATCATTAAAACGAATAAAACTCTAGCAACGTGAGCTGGGTGTGGGCTGCGGTATTTTACAAAATCTGTAATATGACATTATCCAAACCATTTTCAATTTCCCTTCCCAAACCTTGTCTCCGGATCCGTCCCTGAAAACATACTAATGAATGTAACCACGTGATAGAAGAATGTTCAGTTAAGTTCTTATCGGTTCACAGTTATTCTTGCCGTATAAAATGGTTTTTATCCATAAATTACTTGTCTTTCAACTTATACCTACAAAGTACGTGTTGTATAGTTTTAGCTACGCTTCAGAACGAACTGACGGAGAAAACGCTCAATTCTATATGGGTTCAAACAATGTGAAATATCGCCAGAGAATGGAAAACAACCATACATTTTCAATATAGTACAAAATACGCGAACAGCTATCTATTACAAATATTTAATACTATATGAAATTGTTATAACTGTTCAGTTCAGTTTGTTATAACTGATCTTCCATCATGTTTTATTTCATTTTGAAATACTTTGAACATGACTTCAGAAAATAATACATAATATTCAAAATACAATACAAATAATTAATTAATAGTGTATGTTTGCATTAAATTTAGACGGTATTGAAAAAGCAGTACGTTATATGAAAAGGCATTGATTGTTTTTTAGAGTATTAATTTAACAACATTTTCAAAGTAGATGGTTCAAACATAAGTGACTGTAACTCCATTTCATAACAATTCAATTTTCTGATAGATGAGAACTAAGAAATGGACCCAATCATAGTCCTGCCATGTTTGTTTGTTTTTCAGATCGCTCTGAATGGCCATGTCAATAAAAGCTTAAGATCTCCCGCCCCAAACTGCGTCGTACGCAACCCTTCTGGCGACTTGTATGCGCTAACACGGATGACCAACATTCCGCGACTACGCGGATAAGTCACTCCGAATCGGACAGCTCGCTTCCCTTAAATCTACAGATAAAAAGAACAACATCCAATGTTATTCTCCAAGCAGACGGAAAACACTAGCGGAAACGTGACGAGCGCCTCAAGAAAGCGGGAAACTGGCAAGCGAATCCTTGATGAACTTCCGAGCCGTGCGGGTCGGCGCGGGCCTCCCGAGACACAACATGCAACCTCATCGAGGCATGAGCCACATGGTACACGGCGCGTGGAGAGATGCGACTGATTGTGAAGATCGTACGAATACTACGAAACGGTTTGTGTGTGGGGGGGGCGCATGCGCCGCGCGGCGGGGAGGAAGCGGGGAGGGGGAGGC